CTCGCGTACCTCACTTTTCCAATGGTTTTAAATTAAATTTTTTTTAATTTTTTTGGTAGCAAAAAATTCCAATTCTTTCTTGACAAATTGGTGCCAGACAGAACTCTTAAGCTTAAAAATTAGAGCCACAGTGATTTTTTGAAAAAAAATTGTTATCTCGGCTCCTAATAATCGGAGAGTAACCTTTTTTTTAACAATAAATTCATTAAAAAATGTCGAATGCATATTTGATATTAACAGAATTATTCCATTTTTTTATATGAAAAGAAGATACCATTTTTCAAAGTCGTTTTATAATAGTTTAACTGCAAAAAATTGTTTTGTTATTAAGTGTACGTTACATACATAAGTGTATGTTATATAGTGCAACTTTTGGAGAACAAAAATCACCTTTGTAAATTGCTGTGAGATTCAACGATAAAAGAATTAAATTTTCCGCAGAGTTTTTAGTTAACAAATGGCTTTTTGCAAACATTAATGAACATTTCAGGCTCGTTCGGGGCTAGATTTCGTCATTATGAGAGCTACATTTTATGAGAATTTCAAAGAATTTGCGTTTAAATCTCAATGAACAGAGAGCGAGAAAAAGGACTTTTTCAGTGTTTTTAAATTTTTTTTCTTAACTAATAAATCGATTTTAATGTTCCACGTATCCTTATTTCGAATACCTACATTTTCTTTACCAAATTTTTTTCCATACAATATCTTTCGTTTTATAAGCGAAAAACGTGCAACTATTCGATTTTTTCGCATATTTTCTTCACAAGTTTCGAATCTCAAACATACGCATTTCTTTTCTGAGCCTTTTAAAGATTTTCGTGAAGAGAAATACTAATTTATAATTTTTTTCCAATAAAATTCTATCTCTACTGAATTTATTATTATTCTTACTATTCGAGTTTATGTAGGAGATATATAATATACCATAATCGTAAACGCACAAAAATCGTAAACAATTAAATATCTCATAAACTGTTGCATTTAACATGATTTATACTATTTTGGATTAATGGGAAGAGTACACTATTATGCTTAAAAAGAAAGATTTATATCAATCTGCAAAGTGTATACAAATGTTGAGCGAAGATTCGGAATGGTAAATAAAGTAATAATTGTGTCTAGCAGTAGGTGTTCGATCTTCTAAAAGATGGCATTGCAATATGTTTCATACATATTCATAAGGATGAATATGTTGAGTGAGACACAATGATATACATATAAAAAATATAAGAAATGAATGAAAGTCGCTATTATTGAATTTGAAATTTAAAAATATACTATCAACTTCGATCAAATTCGGCCATCGCTCCTGCACCCTAAGGGCCAGTTCCATAACTCTTAACAGAGGTTCAACTTATTGTCTCTTTCCAATTCTAAAATTGGAAAGAAATGAAAAACAAGTTGAACCTCGATTAAGTGTTAATCGAAACTGAGTCTTAGAGGATTATAAAGGTATCTATCGATTTTTTTTATGGATTAAATACAACATTATACAATTTTCGTAAAATAATATTGCATTATTTAATTTTTTTGCAAGATTTGAAAATCCATTTCCAGAATTAAAATATACGCATTAATATTAGTCTGTAGTGTGGAATTTATCCGAAAATGATAAAACTTTTTAAGGTGATCCTATACATAGTCAATAATAATACTTATCAATAATATTGAACCAGTAATACTGATAATATGCATAAATATTTTTAATATTTCTGCAAGCTTATATCAGTATGGATAATATTTCATTTTATTAGGTGTACAACTTTGCTTCCGCCGTTTTTTTTCCGAAATTCGAGGCTTTATTGTAAAAAACTGGTTATACATTTATGATACATTTTCTAAGTATTGTCCATCGCTGGTCACTACTTTCTCCCATCTTTCGGGTAGCGTACGAATCCCGCGTCGAAAAAACTGGTCATCTTTTGAGGCTATCCACGAATCGATCCAATTTTTTTACTTCTTCATAAGACCGGAAGTACTGGTTAGCCAGGCCCTGTGCCATTGATTGAAACAAGTGATAGTCAGAGGGAGCAACGTCTGGAGAATACGGCGGGT